CGCTTAAAGTTTATTTGCCCTCCCTGTATGTAAACCCCAGTGCTTTGAAAAGCTCTGCGCCGTGATCCTGAACTATAAGGTGAAGCCCTTGTCAGAACATAATCAAGTGTTCGGCAGTTTCCTCCTCCTCTCCGCATGTACTGCATACCGTGTCTACCCCTTTGTATTTGGCCCGATATGTCTTGGTTCGCAATAATCCTGTCCTGGCCTCAAACAGTAGAGAACTACCCCGAGTATTATCATAGATCCTTTCCTTGGCAATTTCCTGCTTAAAAGTTCGATAGATCTCTAGTGCGGACTTCTTAATCATGCCAATTCTCTACATGTCAGTCTCCGTTTCCTTCACCTTCTTCTTAGCTGATAGTTCTTTTGGTTTGGCCCCCTGCCGTTTTCTAAGTATTTACCCGTCAATTTTCTGGTTCGCTTCCTCCATTTTGTATCGACATTCATGTACAAGTAGCTAAAAACCGTCCTTGCTCAACGCTCCTGCCCCACTTTTCTCAATCGCTTTTAAAATTTTATCTTGCTGCTAGCTTCCCTGCCCTCAAATGATGTTCATCCCATATCACCTTGTACTCCCTGATTCGGTGTATTCCCGTGAGCTCCTAAAGCAAGCCGACCTATTCCACGTTGCTTAATTTCTAATCTTGCTTGAACTTCTGATCTGATGCACAAGAACGTCAGACCCGGAACCATGTCCCCTTTCAATATTACTTTCACAACATCATACCTATTGTAATTCCACAGTGCCCTATTTTTCATCACTGCTGCCTTCCTGTTACCTTTAGTCGTTACGTATATTTCGTGTTCCCGTAGGTACTCGGTTCCATCGCTTATCCATACGCCCAGATATTTGTGTTTATCTGTTATCTCTAGCGTGACCTCCTTTATCCTAAGCTCACTACCTTCATTATCATTAAAAATCATCATTATCATTAAAAATCCTAAATCTAACCTATCTCCCTCATTACCACAGCTGTTCATCAATCTTTGCAAATCTTCCTTGTTGTCGGCCATTAGCACTATATCATCTGCGTACATCAATGCTGGTAGTGCCAGTTCAATGAGTTTTTCTTGTTTGACGAAAGAGGGCTTGAAGCTAAGTCCAATTCCCTCTAATTTGGCAAGTAAGACTTGTAGGTAGATCATGAATAACAAAGGTGACAGAGGACACCTCTACCTAAGGCCCCGTTTCACCTCTCTGGGCTTGGATACCGTTTTTTCTCACTTTATAACTACCTTGTTACTTTTATAGATACCCTTTAAACGATTAGTGACCATCTTCCACACCTATAGCGTGTCCAGTATTCCCCACAAGTCCTCTTGAACCGAGCACTGCAGAGCCCTCTGCATGTAACGAGCGCTGCAGAGCCATCTAGTGATCTCCGTTCAAACTAGAAACGAGAGCACAGCTGCACCTCTTGTGAGCGCTCCGGATATAGCGGCTGGATACGGCGATTGGGGCACAAACCTCGACCATGAGGAGCTTCGCCCCCTCAAATTGCGCACTAAAGGGTTTGTCTTCGATCTAACGCTGGGACCAGTAAATAGCGCTGGAAGATTCGATAAGGCGTTTATGAAAGCCGACGCGCTTCACAGTCGAGCAGGTAACCGACGGCCGACGTCTTGATCGCCTCGATCAGGGTGAAACTGGTGTGGGCGAAAGCTCACTGAACAAAGCGTTTTCATATGTACCAGCTTGTGTTCTGCCCACTTGTCCAAACCCTGAACATGTTGAATAGATATAATAGACTACACGAGGCAGCGGCAAGCGAAGGGATGGCTTCCATCCCTAGACCAGGCACAAGCATGCGATAGGGTAGAACATGAATACATTTTCGCCACTCTGTTGGCATTTGGTTTTACTAGACAGTTCGTGTACCTAATCATGGAACTGTATGATGACATTAATAGTGACTTAACGATGAATAATGAAACGGTAGCTTTTTTTCCGGTAACGCGAGAGCGTGCGACAGGGCTGTCCCCTTTCCCTCCTGTCGTTTGCGCTGACAGTTGAACCTTTCCTTGTCCAGGTAGAAAGACACCCGAGTGTCCTTGGGTTGCAGACCCCAGGTAGTGGCTCACTTAAAGTAGCTGCCTATGCAGACGACATCACGATATATCACAGGGACGAGGACAGCCTCGCCACCGTCCTTAAAGTTTTCTCAACCTATGCAGAGCTCTCCGGAGCGAAACTTTATTTGCATAAATGCAAGTCTTTGTGTCTCCATGTATCCCCGGTAACGTGTCTACACAGAATCTCCGTGGTAGACAATGTAACTATCCTAGGAACAAATTACAGGGCCACTGGCGTGTCCAACCAGAGTTGGAAGGAGGAGGTGAATACACTAAAACAGGAAATAACCAGGGCACTTGAATTTAACTTTCCGTACTACGTATGTCGATATCTACTCATGGGCGTTTATACTGAGCGCCTGCGGTTTTTGACAAACTCGGTAGTCATACCGAACCAAATCGCGCGTAAGGTCAAGTCCCAAATAATTAGGTTTTTCTGGAATGCCAAAACGGCCCTCGTTAAATACGAGCAGTTGGGATTGCCTCGCGAGAAGGGCGGATGGGACATCCTTCGGTGGTCGCCCTCGCGGACATGTATGCTTGAAGACGACCCTCAAGGTCCTGCAACTTCAGAGGAACACCGCGCCAGGAAACTGGCAATGTATTTCTTGGGGGTGCAGGGTAGTTTGTTCCTGCCGACGCAACCCGCGGGGCCGAAGGCGATGAACCCGACGCCCCTCTACGGGCATGTAGTAGGATTTTACAAGCGTATAGCCGCGCTAAATCTGGACACCCCCATCCTGGAGGTGTGTAACACGGAGTTCACTCAAGAGCTACTTGTAAACTCGGGCTGCGAGGTCAAAAACCCCGGTTTTCCGTGGGTGTTGTTGACGCCCAGTTGGCTGCCGTGCAGCATCCAGGATGTCGTGTCGCGTTACAGGTGGTCCGTCCTGCCCACGGCGGACCGAATGTACAAGTGGCACTACGTTCGGTCCGATCGTGCGTGCACTGCGGCATGCACGAGGACAACGAGCACGCTTTGTTAACCTGTCGAGTGGCCAAGACTTTTTGGTCCCTCGTGGACAGGGCGTACCTCCCGTTGGGTGTAGAAAGATTTGTCAAAAGGGAACGATGTCCAAATGGCGCGCTTGCACGTCTAGTGCTGACCGATGGCATGTACGTGTTGTGGGAAAACAGGGGCTTGGCTGTGCATCAAGCAAAGGCCCGTAAAATCAATGGGCTTTGCTGGTGCGGTTGTATAATATTGTAACGGGCCATTTGGAATCAGAATTCTTTTCACTGGAGAGGAGGAGTTCATGAAACGATGGTCCTGTGCCTTCATTAAAATCGCCAACAACCGGGTTGTCTTGGCGTGTTCGCCGATTCAGGGCCTAAGAACTACCTAAAAAAACACTGTGTGCTGGGTGCCAGAACAATTGAGTGTAAACATGTGACACATTTATTGTGAACACAAATGTCAAGTGCCATAATTTTGTGGAACCGAATTAGGTATGTGTTTGTGGAACCAAATTTGTATGTAACCTGGTGAACAATAGAATTTCTTTTTCGCCTACTTCATCGTCACTAACAGGGGACACTATGAACGCCGGAGTTGTCCAACACTGACGTCAGTTTCTTAACGGTGCCCTACCATCAACTTTTCTCTTTCTTTGAAGGTTCGGAACGTGCGACGCACCCTGCAAGAAGTCGTGATTTCCTCAGAAAGCGACAGCTACGTCGACCAAGTACGCATTTGTTCTCGATCACTTTCAGTAGACGCCGAACTTCGGGCGCGCCTCCACTAAAGCGTGTTTATCGCACAATCTCTACCGTTGTCGCGCCCCTGTCGAGACAGCACCACCCCGCAAATGCTATGGCCGCTCGTATGCGGAGTGTTAGGGAGCATTAGAATCGCAGCGCGCTCTGACGCACGGGCGGGCATGACACGAGGTATCTTTGTATTTCGCGGGCGTCTGTTTTAAGCAGTAAAGCACTATAATAACTAACAGATAAGTTCGAAACAGTCTGATCGGAAGTTTTGCGAACCGATCTACAACTTTCTCACTGAAATTTTTGCCCAGCTTCGTTGCTTCAGAAGTCCATTAACGGAAGTAGCCTAAGTAAGCTATTAATCAGAACTCAAAAGTATAGTATGACTAGCTCCTGGCGAGAGTCGGCAACAGGCACTTGGTCGCGTCGTCATTGCATTGGCATATTTTGAAACTCTCGCTAAATATAGCTGGATCACCCTGAATATGCATATGTCCGATAAAAGATGCTCGTCGACCCCTAAGCGCACTGCTTATTCACTGTTAGCAAGCACATGTCACTGAATACATTCTCCGCTTGCTCGAACCATATGCTCGAACAATACGACTTTTGCAGGTGATCTATCTGAGGAGTTCCTTGAAACCCGGAGAGATGGCGTTATCTGCCGCTGGTTTCTTCTCCTTGAAATTACCGACGCTCGTTTCGGTAAGAAATGTAGAGTCACTCTTAATTCTTTCATTGTAGGCTATAGTGTCAGCGAGTCTTTAAGTACCAAGCATATTGTGCTACGTTCGAGAGTAAGGAAGCTTAAAAGTATACATTGAATGCAAATATGAAGAAACATAAGAGCTCCACAATTCGCCACTGACCGGGCCGCCCTCATCATGAAAGTACATGAACTCTTGGATTTATTCCATTATGGAGTGTCTGTCAACCAAACTGAACTCGAAAATGAGCGGGCAGTTCTTTGACTTCAGTTGCTGTCGCTGACAAATAAAACAGAACAAAACAGAATGTCAAGTGCCATAATTTTGTGGAACCGAATTAGTATGTGTTTGTGGAACCAAATTTGTATGTAACCTGGTGAACAATAGAATTTCTTTTTCGCCTACTTCATCGTCCCTAACAGGGGACACTATGAAGGTGCGGAGTTGTCCAACACTGACGTCAGTTTCTTAACGGTGCCCTACCATCAACTTTTCTCTTTCTTTGAAGGTTCGGAACGTGCGACGCACCCTGCAAGAAGTCGTGATTTCCTCAGAAAGCGACAGCTACGTCGACCAAGTACGCATTTGTTCTCGATCACTTTCAGTAGAGGCCGAACTTCGGGCGCGCCTCCATTAAAGCGTGTTTATCGCACAATCTCTACCGTTGTCGCGCCCCTGTCGAGGCAGCACCATCCCGCAAATGCTATGGCCGCTAGAATGCGGAGTGTTAGGGAGCATTATAATCGCAGCGCGCTCTCACGCACGGGCGGGCATGACACGAGGTATCTTTGTATTTCGCGACGTCTGTCTTAAGCAGTAAAACACTATAATAACTAACAGATTAGTTCGAAATAGTCTGATCGGAAGTTTTGCAAACCGATCTACAACTTTCTCACTGAAATTTTTGCCCAGCTTCGTTGCTTCAGAAGTCCATTAACGGAAGTATCCAAAGTAAGCTATAAACCAGAATCCAAAAATATAGTATGACTAGCTCCAGGCGAGAGTCGGCGACAGGCACTTGGTCGCGTCGTCATTGCATTGGCATATTTTGAAACTCTCGCTAAGGACAGCTGGAGCACTCTGCACATGCATATGTCCTAACAAGATGCCCGTCGACCCCTAAGCGCACTGCTTATTCACTGCTAGCAAGCACATGTCACTGAATACAATCTCCGCTTGCTCGAACCATATGCTCGAACAATACGACTTTTGCAGGTGATCTATCTGAGGAGTTCCTTGAAACCCGGAGAGATGGCGTTATCTGCCGCTGGTTTCTTCTCCTTGAAATTACCGACGCTCGTTTCGGTAAGAAATGTAGAGTCACTCTTAATTCTTTCAGTGTAGGCTATAAGTGCAGCGAGTCTTTAAGTACCAAGCATATTGTGCTACGTTCGAGAGTAAGGAAGCTTAAAAGTATATATTGAATGCAAATATGAAGAAACATAAGAGCTCCACAATTCGCCACTGACCGGGCCGGCCTCATCATGAAAGTACATGAACTCTTGGATTTATTCCATTATGGAGTGTGTCAACCACACTTAACTCGAAGATGAGCGGGCAGTTCTTTGACTTCTGTTTCTGTCACTGACAAATAAAACAAAAAAATGTAAAGTTCCCGCTTTTCGGCTTCTCTGGAACACCGTCAACTGTTCGTTATCACTAGAAAGAGACATGTTTGACGATATCTACTTTTTTGTTTTACTTTCGAGCATCCTCAAGGTCCCAAGGCATTAAAACTGGCTGGTGAGGGTATAACACACCACTCCGGGTTATGCTAGATTAGCTCTTACAACGAAATAACTACAATGCAGCCCGTGAAGAAGCTAAAGAAAGCGAGCGACTGCTACAAAGCAGTTACGGCCATAATTTGTGCAAAATTCGGTCATTCCAGCGACGCAGGCGGCGCCATGCGGCCGTGCTCCGAAGCTGTCACATGGCGATAGTCTGCGCCGCACTTCAGTCTCTCAGCGCGTCTTCACGCTCTGCAACGCTGACGTGCACGCTCGCGACATCACCGTCTCGTCCGCCACTTCGACGCACCATTGCGCCGCCTACAGTTGATGGAATGGTCGAATATGTTGCGACTACAAAATCTGTGGAGGTTAGGCCTAGCGACGAGCCCGAAGCATGTTTGTTAGTGCAGGTGATAATAAATGTGCTAGATTGGGCCTAACATACCAAGAGGCGCTAGGCCTAGCTCGTTTCACTGGGCCACGGTGATAGAATTGACAGGTGTCCAAACGAGCGCAGCAGGTGTGTCCCCTAACTCGAGTTGCTCGAGGTCACCGCTAGGCTCGCGACGAGCAGCTGGGCCGAAAGACGTGCGTCGCAAGGTTTCGCTGAGTTGTAAAGGCCGGCTACAATAACTATTTTCGTGGCATTAAAGTGTCCTCAGCTCGACCGACATGATAATCAGATGGTGGCCCGGTTGGCACGTAAAACGGCAGAGCTTATAACTCTGACTTTGTATGTTGCTCTGTTGCCTGACAACATGAATACTAACGTTGTCATCGCTCAATTTGCTCCTCTTGTCACATATAACGTTATAGTTATAGTTCACAAGTTAGCTCTATAGCAAAGCATTGTTAAACTTCCATAATAGAGATGTCCGAATGCCATGCGCCCGTATATCGTATGTTTCTGACACTGCAGTCTTGAACGAAAAAAAAAAGATTGGTAGGAAATTTTAGGGATGCAGAAACCAAAGGTACTGATGTAGGTGCCAGAACTTTTGCTATGATGGTTAAGGTTCAACCTTGTACTGCACTGGTTAAAATACAACCCCGTAATGGTCGAATTCAATTTATCATTTGGAAGAAATGCTTTCGAGTGAAGAATGTGAAGTGTGCCCCATAATATTTATGTTGACTTAGGCAAGTGACCGTTGTAGCCTCTCTTTTTAAGCACGTAGCTTCCCACCTCTTGAAATGATATGTAAAGGTGTACACAAGACGGCGTCTGTATATCTTCTTCTAACAAAAAGAAGAACAGCTTGCATATGTAAAGCTTCAATATCACATGTCTTTCCATTTGCAGCTTGCCGGAGCAATGATCACGTACACGGTCATTCTCGTTCAGACAAGTGAGACTGTGAAGAAAGTCTGACAGAACTTGACAAATGAACGAACGATTCTCGATGTCACGTAGTTCTTAATCATGTCTACAGGAGGACAACGATAAACTACCACATGAGAGGAATGGGCTACCCTGCTGCGCTCAACGGACAAGGCCAAGCAGAAGATCGCCACTGACCTGGTCGCCCACGTCATGCCACTACATGACGTCATGAACGCGTAGTGCAATAGGGTCGTGCGGGGACCCAGTGACGTACCTTCCCGAATCTCTTGGTGGAAAAAAACGCCAGGCCTGCGCGGAAGGCGCAGCACAGTCACAGCGAAAGATAGAAGAGCAGCCTTTCAGAGCCTTTTCTAAACACTCATCAGGTAACTGCTGCAAGCACACTTGCTTGATGCACATTACGGCATTAACAATAAAAATTTTAGGGTAGTAGACCGGCAATCGCTATGCTATTTTTCGTCAATCTTCTGAGAAGCGTGGTATCCGGTAAACACTTGCAAGGAATTTTGCGCCATTCGTTCATGCAGTGGCTGACGACGATGATGAATTATGCCTGAAGTGGGTATGCGCCACAGCTAATAGGTGAACAAGAATAAGCTTTTGTAATGAGTTGGAGCATTGGATGACCCACTCGTTACGCTATTCGCACTGTGGGACAACTGGTTGTTCTTTCGCTGTTTTAAAACGCTTTATAAGTCATATTAACGCGATTGCTTCCCCGACAATGCAGCCCGTGAAGAATCTAAAGAAAGCGAGCGACTGTTACAAAGCAGATACGGCCATAATTTGTGCAAAATTCGGTCATTCCAGCGACGCAGGTGGCGCCATGCGGCCGTGCTCCGAAGCTGTCACATGGCGATAGTCTGCGCCGCACTTCAGTCTCTCAGCGCGTCTTCACGCTCTGCAACGCTGACGTGCACGCTCGCGACATCACCGTCTCGTCCGCCACTTCGACGCACCATTGCGCCGCCTACAGTTGATGGAATGGTCGAATAGGTTGCGACTAAAAAATCTGTGGAGGTTCGGCCTAGCGACGAGCCCGAAGCATGTTTGTTCGTGCAGGTGATAATAAATGTGCTAGATTGGGCCTAACATACCAAGAGGCGCTAGGCCTAGCTCGTTTCACTGGGCCACGGTGATAGAATTGACAGGTGTCCAAACGAGCGCAGCAGGTGTGTCCCCTAACTCGAGTTGCTCGAGGTCACCGCTAGGTTCGCGACGAGCATCTGGGCCGAAAGACGTGCGTCGCAAGGTTTCGCTGAGTTGTAAAGGCCGGCTACAATAACTATTTTTCGTGGCATTTAAAGTGTCCTCAGCTCGACCGACATGATAATCAGGTGGTGGCCCTGGTTGGCACGTAAACGGCAGAGCTTATAACTCTGACTTTGTATGTTGCTCTGTTGCCTGACAACATGAATACTAACGTTGTCATCGCTCAATTTGCTCCTCTTGTCACATATAACGTTATAGTTATAGTTCACAATGTTAGCTCTATAGCAAAGCATTGTTAAACTTCCATAATAGAGATGTCCGAATGCCATGCGCCGTATATCGTATGTTTCTGACACTGCAGTCTTGAACGAAAAAAAAAGATTGGTAGGAAATTTTAGGGATGCAGAAACCAAAGGTACTGATGTAGGTGCCAGAACTTTTTGCTATGATGGTTAAGCTTCAACCTGTACTGCACTGGTTAAATACAACCCCGTAATGGTCGAATTCAATTTATCATTTGGAAGAAATGCTTTCGAGTGAAGAATGTGAAGTGTGCCCATAATATTCATGTTGACTTAGGCAAGTGACCGTTGTAGCCTCTCTTTTTAAGCACGTAGCTTCCCACCTCTTGAAATGATATGTAAAGGTGTACACAAGACGGCGTCTGTATATCTTCTTCTAACAAAAAGAAAAACAGCTTGCATATATAAGCTTCAATATCACATGTCTTTCCATTTGCAGCTTGCCGGAGCAATGATCACGTACACGGTCATTCTCGTTCAGACAAGTGAGACTGTGAAGAAAGTCTGACAGAACTTGACAAATGAACGAACGATTTCTCGATATCACGTAGTTCTTAATCATGTATACAGGAGGACAACGATAAACTGCCACATGAGAGGAATGGGCTACCCTGCTGCGCTCAACGGACAAGGCCAAGCAGAAGATCGCCACTGACCTGGTCGCCCACGTCATGCCACTACATGACGTCATGAACGCGTAGTGCAATAGGGTCGTGCGGGGACCCAGTGACGTACCTTCCCGAATCTCTTGGTGGAAAAAACGCCAGGCCTGCGCGGAAGGCGCAGCACAGTCACAGCGAAAGCTAGAAGAGCGGCCTTTCAGAGCCTTTTCTAAACACTCATCAGGTAACTGCTGCAAGCACACTTGCTTGATGCACATTACGGCATTAACAATAAAAATTTTAGGGTAGTAGACCGGCAATCGCTATGCTATTTTTCGTCAATCTTCTGAGAAGCGTGGTATCCGGTAAACACTTGCAAGGAATTTTGCGCCATTCGTTCATGCAGTGGCTGACGACGATGATGAATTATGCCTGAAGTGGGTATGCGTCACAGCTAATAGGTGAACAAGAATAAGCTTTTGTAATGAGTTGGAGCATTGGATGACCCACTCGTTACGCTATTCGCACTGTGGGACAACTGGTTGTTCTTTCGCTGTTTTAAAACGCTTTATAAGTCATATTAACGCGATTGCTTCCCCGACATCAAGCCTGCCCAAGGAAAGTTTGCCAAGTCCCAAGCACCGGCGTGGCTCAGTGGTAGAATAAAGTTTTACCTCCATCATTTATTTGCTGCTTCCTTGAAAGTTTGTTTCCTTCTGTTTGTTGAGCAAGCAATGCCTTGTGCTTTGCTGAACGCTTTTTTCTTTGCAATATATAGCGCCATGAGATCATGTATACAGAGCTGTGTTGACCGATGCCACGAAGCAAACATGCAAATACTCATGATGAAAGAAAAAGTCAAAACAAGCGGAAACATTAAATATTGTGATTCTTGAAAATATTTTTGATTACAATTAACAATGCCAATAAAGAACGAAGAAGGATATCATAAACCGCGTAATTTTTTTGTCTTGTAGAGCCAAAAGATGCGCCACTATGAACGAAAGCACATAGTAATCTTTAACATCGTCTCAGGGCAGTCTCCCTTCGGTAGAACGCACGCTTGGATAAATGGATGTACAAAACATTATCTTAAAAACCTGCAGATTAGCGACCGGGCCTATAGGCCACCCGGGTGGTCGCGGTAAGGCTTAACCTTTCCGCCGCTTCTCGGGCCTGCTGGATGGCCCAAATTGGGTCTTCTAATTCTGAGCTAGCCAGAGCGTCGAGCTAACGCATTTCAAGGAGGTCCGGGTTTCGATGCCGAAAAGCCGTGTAGCGTGTGGAATTTCCAAAGAGTGTGTTTCATGTCTGCGCATTCGTGTTTACATAGGATACAGCCAGCGTCGGGGAATTGCCTGGGGTATATGCGGTTGAGGTGCACTGGACTTCAGCTCTCGCCTTACGGTATTTTTTCACTCCGCCAACGTATGTTTGGCTTCGGCACCTGAACCACAAGCGTGCACACGAGGACAGAATCAGGGGAGCCGGCTTCACCTGTAGTCCCTTCAAAAACGGGGAGGGGCGAAAAAATCTGCCCCGTGCATTGAATCAGCAAGACGGGGTGGGGGAGGGGCACTGCGATTAACCTTGGCCCTCAAACAGGCCTATACACTCAGCTACATTGTGTCATTGAGAAACACGCTATTAGTAAACAACAAACGTGCGCTGGTGAACGTGATGACTGATATACCTATAATTTATAGAAAAATGCAATTAAGCCCCCAAAACGCGACAAGCGACTGGAAAAATCCTACAAGCGACTGGGCGTAGAAGGAAGCCGAAATCCTCTTATTATAAGCGCAACTGGCAACCCTGATACAGAGAGATATTGCAGAAGGGAACGGAGTTGGTCTTCCGGTTTTTAGTCGCACGGGCGACGAGTGACACTCTTGAATTTCTTCCAAGCACTTTCATTCAATCAATATAGTTTTTCAAATGTTAAAAAATGCATTAAAAATCAAACACAAGCGAAATCGATGATAATGGTCCAAGGTAAGCGTTTTAATGGATACACATCATTAGCGAGAGCTAACCGACAATATTACCGAGGAAAGTTTACGGGATTTTGTTACAAAGTAATTATAGTGTAAATGTGAAGAAAGAAAAGTGGACGAAAGGATGACTTGCCACCAGCAGGATCCGAAGCGGCGACCTTCGAACAACGCGTCCGATGCCGTACCTCTGAGGTACGACGGCGGTCAGCAGCGCCACCTGTAGCCATTAGGGCGGGTGTGGGAACGCTCTTTTTGCACTCTTCACGTAGTATAAGTGATCTTACGAGACGGCAGCTGATCAATAATCACCCGCACACGAACCCTTAGAAAGCGCCTCACCAGGCCCTATAACAAAGTCTAGTAAGGCACTATAGTAGTTATGTGTCTGATGAAGAGAATTATGCCACAAGGTTTCTTTCGATCGGTTCATTACGAGCCGACAAAAGCAGCATTTTGAAGCGGCGTGAAACCAGGATGCGAGGATGTGTGCTCGAAACCCTTGCTGCTCGCCCCGCGTAGCCTTCGCAGGCCAAATCTCGTCCCCACACTCTCCGAGCAAGAGGTCACGTGCGCATGACGTGCCAGAGGCCCGAGAAAGCCCAACCTGCAGCACACGAGCGGCATTGTTTTGTTGACCAGCGTTATTTTGTGGTCTGCTGTCTA